ACAAAAATACATGTAGTTAAAAATTAAATCTGACCAAGGGGCTAATTAAAATCCATATAAAATGGTTCAATCACTATTGATGGCTTCACATCAGTGTTTCAAAATCAAAGTGGGCTGTCATAGACAAGACTTGCATGAACATCACAGAGGCATCAACATCCCTCTAATGTTATTCTTATAATGCAATTTTATCAATTTTGACCTCAAAAATAAGACCCTTCTAAATTTCTAAACATTCAAGCCCTACATAGGGATGTACATATACATGTACATTACATATGTATTAAGATATTTTATTCTGATTACATATGAAAGATAAAAGTGTCAATAATTTTCAATATTATAAAATTAAATTTCAGTAAGAGTCGTACGTGTTAATTGTTATATCTATGCAGTCTCAAATTCTGATATCATTAAACAAATATCACGAATACCATATCACACCTGTACCAGCAGTGATATACACACTAAACATGTTCATCATCGTGTGATTAGGTGCCGTTATTTTAGTAGCATGGAAACACCTACCTATCAGTGGCTTTTTCAAAGTTCTTCATCTCTTTCAAAGCAACTTCACCCCAATCGGTATGACTCACTTTATACACATCACCAAAACTACCACTACCAATTCGCTTCTTGTTGGTAATTTTGCTTTTGCACGTTTGAATAAGCTTTGATTGTGCCATATTCACTCAATAATGGTCGACCAGTTATGTGCTATCATATAAACTGGGATATGAACCAATTTCAGAATTAAATAAGATAGAAACAAAGATGCATAAAATACCTGTACATGCCACTGAAACTGAACACTTAACTTCGGAACTTTTAAATATGCAATTTTTGGTTTCTATTGCCTCTATTGAGTGAACCCAAATTCTAAGAAGCATGGTAGGCTAGTGCACTAGTTAATATAAACCCTGACCCTTCCCTGTGGAAAACACAAAAATACCTTGTCATCCACACTCTACCTGTCCCTATCCCTAGTAGAAAATTTCATGAGAAAAGGCCAGATTCCTTTAAGTTCCTTAAGGGAGGGTACATGTTAGGGTTTCTCGCTATAGCGACATCCATTTCCCCACAAGATTTTGAGTTGTTTTATGAATCTTCTTGAATCAATCACAATAATTATGTCAACACAATTCGATTCACAATTACAATAAAATTAGTTATGTGTATTCTATATTTCAGAGTAAACATTGTGTAGAAATGCGTACACTAGGTTCAGTGCGACTTGCGTGCTCAAAGCCTCTGGCGAGTGTGCTGACTTAGATGAAATAGTTTCATAATGTATTTAAAGCCGAGGAGTTAAAAAAAAAATATTTGATATAATGTTCTTAGTCCATTGTGAATCATTGTCAGATACTAGGTCAGCCAATTCCTTGCCTGTCAAAGGTAGAAAATGTTGAATCCCGTAATCTGACACACTGATACATGTATGCAAGGACGCAAATATTAGATCCCAGTGCACAGGACGAAGTCTGTTGAATATTCCTAAAGTAAGGTTACTTTGGGAATACCAATAAAGTGTACTATACATGTATAAAGTTCCAACAGGATTACATGTACCTGTAGTGCCACTTTATAAACTTTATTAAACCTATTTAACCAGAACATATTTGAAACACAAGCATCATGCTATTCTTTGATTTAGTGTTTAGAAGCATACTCGAGCGCCAAATCTCAAGCAATTTTGAATGCAATATTACATAAACCATATTAACCAGCTAGATCCTATTTAAATCATACGTGTCCTGCTGTTTTTAAAAAAAAATTGTATTTCTAACTTTTTTTCACATTGTGAATGATTCTACTAATTTTCCCTTGCCTTGTGTGAATAAAAAGGTTATTAAAGAGCCAGGCAAGAATTTAATCAATGACTGACAAACAATACATGGACATACCTGACAAGTTAAAACATGTTATATTGTACAAAAAAATTGTATCTTTGTTTGGAATTTATTTGCGCTATTTTCACTGAAGGAAAGATTCAGTGAAAATAAAGTCCAGCGAACACATGCATATCCTATGTTTTACATTCAATTAAAAAAAATCAGTGAAAATAATTTCATATAGAATTCAATATCAGAATAAAGAAGGAGACACACACGAGTTAACGTGTTGTAGGTTAGCTGTGAAGTGCCACTTTTTATTGTGTAACACGTGATCAGCTCATGACAACATAAGATGGCGTAATGTGATTAGCTAATAAGGTCATGGTGATTATGTAACCCTAACTCTATGAATAAAGTACAAGAAATGCATGGCAAAGTCAAAGATACAACAACAGTATATTATATATTTTCTACAGAGGAAGAAAAAGACAAATATACAAATATTTATGAAGATTTTAAGAACTGCAATTTATTACATGTTCTGAATTACGTACCCTTTGTTCTTGAGGGGGTGTGAAGGGAAAGAATTAATACTGGTAAATTGGTATATAGGTCTAGTTATTCACCTCAGGTCTCTAAAGACGAAGCACTAACTCTTGCATTGAAAACAGTGTACAGCTCATTAGCTTATTCATGACGAGTTTAATAGTTTATGTTTAAGGTCGTTTGGAAACATCTAACGTATTACAATTTTTTAGTGTGTATTACAAAATTATTGATTTGGACATTTTTGCGTTTTATATTGAAATCAAGAATTTTGGTCGTATCAATTTAGATTTTTTATGATTCAGATAGAAAATTTCATGAGAAAAGGCCAGATTCCTTTAAGTTCCCTTAAAGGCCCAGGTATACTATAAATACGCTCCTAAACAATAGGGATTATTTCCTTGCTTGTTACGCTGTAGTAAACAGCTCCAGCCAAGCTCCAGTAAAAACGCGTTTTCTCGAACTTACATGTCTATTATGTCGTGCCAAAGTGGATGCATGTGACTATGAATATCACAGCAGTGACTGTGTGTAGTATTTATGACAATAAATAGTGTACGAGCTGAGATTTTGGCGGATAAAAGTAAAAAACATGAACCGGGGAAAGGGATGCGCGACTAAGCTTGAATAATTACTATTGTCAATCAAAGTCACGTGATGTTGGACCGCTGGAACAGGATGCGTCATAGGCTATGCAAGTGTTTAATACCATGCATTAAAATAGCCACACCTCCAATTCACACTTGCCCGGGGCAAGTGAATTGGGCCTTTAAGGGGAGGGGTACATGTTAGGGTTTCTCGCTATAGTGACATCCATTTCCCCCACAAGATTTTGAGTTGTTTTATGAATCTTCTTGAATCAATCACAATAATTATGTCAACACAATTCGATTCACAATTACAATAAAATTAGTTATGTGTATTCTATATTTCAGAGTAAACATTGTGTAGAAACACGTACACTAGGTTAAGTGCGACTTGCGTGCTCAAAGCCTCTGGCGAGAGTGCTGACTTAGATGAAATAGTTTCATAATGTATTTAAAGACGAGGAGTTAAAAAAAAAAATATTTGATATAATGTTCTTAGTCCATTGTGAATCATTGTCAGATACTAGGTCAGTCAATTCCTTGCCTGTCAAAGGTAGAAAATGTTGAATCCCGTCATCTGACACACTTGATACATGTATGCAAGGACGC